GGCGGAGGGGCGGTCGCTGAGCCTCACCCCGCGCCAGTGTCCTGGGGTGGAGCCCGTGTGCGTGGACCTGTCGAGCTGGGAGGACACGGAGCGGGCGCTGGGGCGCGTGGGCCCCGTGGACCTGCTGGTGAACAATGCGGCCGTGGCCCTCATACAGCCCTTCCTGGAGGTCACCAAGGAGGCATTGGACGCGTGAGTCGGGGGGAGGGGGCGCCCGCGGGGCGCGGGGCGGGTGCGGGAGGAGACCGCTCCCGCTGACCGTCTGTCCCCAGGTCCTTCGGGGTGAACCTGCGAGCTGTCATCCAGGTCTCCCAGGTGAGCCGCCGCCCACGGGCCGGGCCGCAGACCGGGGCAGAACGGTTCTGCCCAGTTCTGCCCGCGCCCCTCTGCAATTTTAGATCGTGTCCAAGGGCATGATCGCCCGGGGCGCCGGCGGGGCCATCGTGAACGTGTCCAGCCAGGCCTCCCAGCGCGCGCTGGCCAACCACAGCGTCTACTGTGAGACTCACCCCACCCCCATCCCCACCCCTATCCCTCCTCCATACCCCCGCCCCCACCCCCCCACCCTCATCCCCCATGCCACCCCCCATCCTCCACCAGCGCGCTCTGGCCAACCACAGTCTCTACTGTAAGAGATACCCCCATCCCCACCCCCACCCCAAATCCATCTCCACCGGATCCCTACCCCAACCCCCACCATGGTGCACTGGCCAACCAGTGTCTACTGTGAGAGACTCACCCTCCCCCATTCCCCCTACCCCCATCCCTATCCCCCCTCCACACCCCATCTTCCACCCCAGCCCGGGCTCCACACCCTCGCTCCTCACAGGCTCCACGAAGAGCGCCCTGGACATGCTGACCAAGGCAATGGCCCTAGAGCTTGGGCCTCACAAGGTCAGCTGGGCTGGGTGCCTCAGGCCTCCCAGGACTCACGCCCAGAGGACGGACCCTGCCCACCCTGCTGACCCCCACCTGTCCCCATGCAGATCCGGGTGAACGCGGTCAACCCCACGGTGGTCATGACGGCGATGGGCCGGGCCAACTGGAGTGACCCTCAGAAGGCCCAGGGTATGCTGAGCCGCATCCCACTGGGCAGGTTTGCTGGTGAGTCTCAGGCTAGCCTCCTGCGGCCAGGGCGGAGCAGGGAGGAGAGCAGCCTCTCATCTGCTCCTGGTCTCTCCCCTGCCCACAGAGGTGGAGAATGTAGTGGACGCCATCCTCTTCCTGCTGAGTGACAGAAGCAGCATGACCACGGGGTCCACACTGCCGGTAGACGGGGGTTTCCTAGCCAGCTGAGCCTCCCAGCTCCATGCTGAGACCACCCTCGACCTCCTGGTACACCTGACTTCCCTGCTAGCGTCTGGCCGGCAACAGACAGACACCCATCCAATCCGCAATCCAGGTGACCTGAGAGCTGCAGGCCTGGCAGGAACTGGATAGGACCTCCCAGAAAGAAAGATGGTCCCTAAAGGGAGTGCTGAATTTGACCCAGAATGACCTTTGGCCTTATAGAGCTGCAGATTGCTCATAAACTAGCTGTGTGATTCTGATGTTAAGGTTCATCTTCCTTCCAGTTAATAAGTAACATAAATCAAGCAAGAATGAAATATATCAAACCACTAGTTTGCCAATGACCCAAGCAACATCTGTGTGTGTGTACGGGGCTTGAGCTATGTTCTGGTGCTTTGCCAGTGGAGTATGAGTGTCTCAGATTTGTCTGCTCAGGCTGGTTTCAAAAGGCCATGTGTCCTGGTGGTGGTAGAGGCTTGCCTCGCATGCATGAAGCCCTGGGTTCCATTCCTCAGCACCACATACACAGAAAAAGCCAGAAGTGGTGCTGTGCAATTGGTAGAGTGGTAGCCTTGAGCAAAAGAAGCTCTGGGACAGTACCCAAACCTTGCCCCAGGACTGGCAAACAACAACAACAACAAAACAATCTTCAGATTTCAGTCTCCTGGGTGGCTAGAAATTAAAGGCCCGATGCTTGATTGGGGCGGGGAAGGTGGCTCAGTGGTAGAGCACTTGCCTTATATGCATGAGGTCCTGGGTTCCATTCCTCAGCAACATATAAGCAGAAAAAGTTGATGGTGGTTGTGGCTCAAGTGGTAGAGCGCCAGCCTTGAGCTGAAGAGCTGAGGGACAGCGCCCAGGCCGAGTTCAAGCCCCACAACCACCACCACTACCACCACCACCAACAACAAAAAGAGATTATCTTTTTCCATGGAGTAAAACTCCCCTCACACACCATGGCTCATTTCAGTGCCTTTAGAAGCGGAGGAGGAAGAATAGCACTGCCCCCCTTTAGTTAGATACAATGAATGAGAATAAGGGCACAGATGATGATACAAAAAAAATTGGAACTGATTTGTTAACTTTGCTTTAAAAAAATTTATGTTTGTATGATTTGTGCTAATAATATCTATTGAACAACCGGGAAAATTCCTGAAAATTGGACAGCTTTCCTGAGCCAGTCTGCGCCATCTGCCCACCACCTGTGGAGGGCCAGTGTGACCCTGCCAGGCCCTCGGACCCGGTCTGCCTCAGGGAAGGCTGTGGCCTCTGGGTTGTCCAGGGGGACCATGAATTGCTGGCCCCTCATTCTCACGTCAGCAACACTGACCTTCATAGTCATGCCTTTTTTTTTTTTTGGGTCCGGTCGTGGGGCCTGAACTCTGGGCCTGGGCGCTGTCCTTCAGCTCTTCAGCTCAAGGCTAGCGCTCTACCATTCGAACCACAGCGAGCGCCACTTCCAGCTTTTTTCTTTTTGCTTATGTGGTGCTGGGGAATCAACCCCAGGACCTCATGCATGCAAAGCAAGTGCTCTACCTCTTGAGCCACTGGGCCACTTCTAGTTTTCTGGTGGTTCATTGAAGAGTCTCAGGGAGGTTCCTGCCCAGGCTGGCTTTGAACCGCGATCCTCAGATCTCAGCCTCGTGGGTAGCTAGGATGACAGGCGTGAGCCACTGGTGGCCAGCTTTCACACCTTTTTTGGGGGTGCTGTTACTTTGACTTGAACTTGGGGCCTTCAGCTTGCTCCTCTTTTTCACTCAAGGCTGGAACTCTACTATTCCAACCACACCTCCACTTCCTGTTTTTTCCTGGTTAATTGGAGCTGAGTCTCATGGGTTTTTCTGCCAGTTTGGCTCCTCAGATGTCTGCCTCCTGAGTGGTGAGGATGATTACAGGCATGAGCCACTGAGGCCCAGCTCAGAGATCTTTCTGTTTCTCTCTGCTGGCCTCTCTTCCTGACACTTCCTCTTAATACTAAAGGAAGTGGGGACATGGGCACTGTCCTGGGACGTCCTGAGGGCTCCAAGAGGCCCGACCTAGCCTCAGCCTCTCGCTGGGCTGTCTGTCTCTGCGCAAGCTGGGTGCTGCTGGCAAAGGCCTCCAGTTGTACCAGGCCTCGGCTCAGAGGAGGAGTCCTCGGGTGCGGTTGACTGCATTGCCCGCTTGGGCGCTGCGGTGGCCTCTGCCTGCAGGCCTGCCTCTCCACAGTGGGCGTGGCCAGGCCCTGGGACCTGCATCCCAGGGTGCCCCTCTCCACAGTGGGCGTGGCCAGGCCCTGGGACCTGCATCCCAGGGTGCCCCTCTCCACAGTGGGCGTGGCCAGGCCCTGGGACCTGCATCCCAGGGTGCCCCTCTTCACAGTGGGCGTGGCCAGGCCCTGGGACCGTATCCCAGGGTGCCCCTCTTCACAGTGGGCGTGGCCAGGCCCTGGGACCGTATCCCAGGGTGCCCCTCTTCACAGTGGGCGTGGCCAGGCCCTGGGACCTGCATCCCAGGGTGCCCCTCTTCAGAGTGGGTGTGGCCAGGCCCTGGGACCCGTGTCCCAGGGTGCACCTCTTCGCGGTGGGCGTGGCCAGGCCCAGGGCCCCCTTGGGACCCGTGTCCCAGGGTGCACCTCTTCGCGGTTGGCGTGGCCAGGCCCAGGGCCCCTCTCTGGGACCCGTGTCCCAGGGTGCACCTCTTCGCGGTGGGCGTGGCCAGGCCCAGGGCCCCTCTCTGGGACCCGTGTCCCAGGGTGCACCTCTTCGCGGTGGGCGTGGCCAGGCCCAGGGCCCCTCTTGGGACCCGTGTCCCAGGGTGCACCTCTTCGCGGTGGGCGTGGCCAGGCCCAGGGCCCCTCTTGGGACCCGTGTCCCAGGACGCTACGGATGCACAGACCCCTGTGCATATGTCGGGGTGGGAATTAGGCGCCAGTAAAGACAGGACCAGTAGTGAGAGGTAGGAGGTGTTGAAGAACGTTTATTGTATAAAATAAGAAGGGACTGCCCCCTCCTGGGACACAATGGACAGACGGCCCCTCCACCCTCCCTACCGCCCCCCTCCACCCTCCCTACCAGGGAAGCCCATCCTGGGGCTTCCCTGTGCCTACCCCTGCAGCCCTGAGGGAGACCCCGCTCCCTCCTGGCTCCCATGGGGGAAGGCTGGAGGAGCACCCAGAAAGGAGGCGGAGGAGGCCGAGCCCTCACCCAGCCTCGTCCCCATGCTTCCCCTCCCCGCCCACACCACTCCCCACAGCAGACTCAGGGACACCAGACAGCAACACAAGGGCACACAGGGGCCAGGGCCGCCCCGCGGGCGGGCTCTAGAAGACCGTGCACTTCTTGCCAGGCTTCTTCACTGGAGGCGGGCAGAGCACCGCCCGGATGGCCTCGTCGAACACCGTCTTCAGACCTCTCTGTGTCAGGGCTGAACACTCCAAGTACTTGACAGACCCTGAGGACAGAGCAGGGGCGGGCATGGGGGGAGGGCCAGGGAGAGGCCGTCCCTCACCCGGCCAGTGCGGCCTCCCAGCTTGGCTGCTCACCAATCTCCCGGGCCATGGCCAGGCCCTGTGGGTAGGTGATGGGAGCGAGCTTCTTGTCCCGAAGCCGCTCAATGGTGTCCTTGTCATCTCGAAGGTCCAGCTTGGTGCCCACCAGGAGGATGGGCGTGTGTGGGCAGTGATGCCGCACCTCTGGGTACCACTGTGAAGACGGGGCTCTGACCTTGGGGCCCCTGGGCCTCTGGGCGGAGGGGGGGTGCTTCCAGCTCTGCCTGGAGCTGGCCACTGCGTCAGGACACAGTGGGGGCTGGTGGGCATGGAGGTGGACTAGGGGCAGAATGCCCAGTGGGAAGCTTCAGGGCCCCGTCAGAAGGCCCACCGTGGCAGAGAGCTGCTGTCCCTCCTGATGTGCTGGCCTGCCACCCATGCCTCCCATGCCACACACCCTCCCCCAGCGCCGGGCATCACTGCTTTCAGGCAAGAGACCCCGTCTTGCCCAGGCCAGCCCTACCTTGGCACGGACATTCTCAAAGGAGGCTGGGCTCACAAGGGAGAAGCAGATCAGAAAAACGTCCTGGGGAGAGAGAGAGGGGGCGGTGGGGAGGGAGGTCAGAATGGCCCATCCCTTCAGCCGGACCACCCGGCCCCCGGGTCACCTACGGTTTGAGGATAGGAGAGTGGCCGCAGCCGGTCGTAGTCTTCCTGCCCAGCGGTGTCCCACAGCCCCAGGTTCACGGGCTTCCCGTCCACCATCACATTGGCTGAGTAGTTATCGAAACTGCAGTGGGAAAGACCAGGGCTGTCCATGGGTTCTAGGCCACGGGAGCCAGGGCCCGGGCTCAGGGTGTCTCCAGCCCTGACCAGCTCCTCAGTCCCCAGAGATGGCACAGAACCAGGGCCGCTGGGGCCGCACATGGAATCTGAAGAAGGTCCTGCAGGACAGGGGCTGCCCGCAGGCCTGGCCCAGCCCTGGACCAGCCCCCGCTTCTCCCTGGTCCCCAGTCACACAGCGGGGATGTACTCCCTGCCCCACCCCCC